TTTTATCCAGAATTCTGTGATTTGAGATCAGTGTGATTTGGAATTAACTGAACAGCAACTCAGACCATATTTGTACATATTCGTAAACACATTCCTTTGTGTGTATGTGTATAGAGTGAAACCTTAGTAAATAGGGTTATTTCCATGAGCAGATTCCTAAGGGTGCAGTGGTGGTAGTGTGGTCTGTAGAGAGTTACATTGTCAACCCAAAGCTGGCATCTCTCTGGCGATTGGAATCCACCAGAGACTTTCCTAGTGTGATTTACAGGCTCCCCCAAAATCCGTTGGAGGGTCAGTTATGGGCTGATTCCAACTTCACAGTTAGGAGTTTGAATTTGTGTTGATGAGCAAAGCCATCCTTGCATCCTTTTTAAGCTTCTCTTTGCCCCAAGTTGATTTCACGTCCTACTAACAGCATGCGGTACTGCACAGGGTGAAAAACACATTCGTACTAGTGTTGTCTGTGCACAGAAAGGATTTATCTTTTACCTATCAAATGACCTTTTGTTCAGATTATTTTCAACATCCAGAAACAATCTGATTAGACATTATTTGTGAGAATGTTTATTATTCAGAAGCCCTCTGTTATCCCATAGACACTGACCTTTGTAAACAATATATTGACTCGTGAAAATGAAGAAATGTTATTTTAGAATATATAATAAGTAGGAGTGAAGAAAATAGGATTTGAGGTGGGAATTTTGGACTAGCAGTCAGCTGAAAAAAAAAAAACCAAACAAACACAACACAACAGAGCAAGTTTGTTGACTTTCAGATGTTCCACAGGGGACTGTGGGCCTTGTGGAAGGATAACCAGAATGAACACAGCCATTCTTGTTTCTCCGTTAGCCACAGTATTTAGTGAAATCCCCATGGCTTTGAGAAGCATGCCTTTTTTAGAGGATAGAGTAAAAGTAGTTTTAAGCCACCTTTGAGAAAGAAATGAGGGGAAGATCCTTTATTGCTTGCCAGATGCAGGAACATTTATTAGAGATTTTCCTTCAAATAAAGGTAGTTAACAGTTTTGTAGCACTTTATATCTTATAAAGTGCTTTGTTTTAATTATCTGTCATAAACACAGGCCCAAGGAGATGCAGAAAATGCATGAAGCTGCATGGAGGACAATGGTGGTGTCCATTGATAACTGACGCGTGCATGTCTTGCCTGTAATAAAAATCAGATTAAAGATAATAACCTCAAAAGCATCTTAACTGGCTAAGCAATATTTGAGAGCACCAGATTATTTCCCTTCGTATAATCTTTATCCTAGACCTCTAAACAGGTCTTTTGCATTTTCTAGCTTAGGTCACTAATCACTAGATGTCTTAAGTGACATGTCACCAAGTGGTGACAGAGTTGGAGGTTATACTGTGTTCATTCCTCTCAGAATCCTGCACCCTTTCTACTACTTTATGCTCTGAGTCGGAGGCTAGCATACTCCCCCCCCCTCCTCCTTTCTGTAGCACCATAGAGTTAACATTTTCAGCTTTGTAGGTCATATGGTTTGTTTCAGCAATTTGACCCTGCCATTGTAGCACAAACCAGTCACAACACCTAAAATGACAGAGGTGACTGTGTTCAGACAAAGCATTTAGTTACAAAACAAGTGGCTGCAAGATTTGCTGTAGTTTGCTGATCCCTGTTTTAAATCCCTTGCTATAAATGAAATGTTGGGGGGACTGAAGCCAGGGATGATAGGATTAGGAAAAGAGGAATAGCATTTGATTTTTTAGAACAAGCTTCAAAACTTGTTGGTTCAAAAACCTAAAGAGAATTAACAGTGGGCATAGAACAAGGAAGAAAACAGAATAGAAATGAATGATATTTATAATATACTAAGAATTTACTGTTCTAAACACATAAAATAACTCATAATGCTTGCCACAACACTATGAGAAGGTTATTATAATTTCTGTTTTCTTTTGAGAGAACATTAAAGCACAAAGTAATTAATTCAGTCAAAACTTTACCACTAGAAATTGGCAGGGCTAGTGTTTGAACTCCTTCAATTTGGCTTCTGCATTTTGACTCTTATCCACTGTTTTTGTGTGAAATTTCAAAGGGAAAAAATTATTCATGTAAATATTTCATCTCTCTAATAAGTGCTTAATGTTTTGAGAAAGAGTTTCATTTTTTAAAAAAGGTACTTTTTTTTACTGTTTGTAAAATTGTTATAAAATATAACTGAAAGAGAAAACACTTGTATGACCAAGTGTTTTTTTTTATAAACTGAACACGCCTTAATTATTCCCCAGGTCAAGTAATAGGACTTCATTATCCCGCTCTAGAAACGCCGTCATATGCCACTTCCCAAACCCAAGTCTCTCTATCCACTCATTAGTATTATCTGCATTTTACCAGTAATCTCTTTTTTACATTTTTAATAGCTTTATGTGTATATATGTCTCCACTCTTGCTTTCTCGTTTGCTCTCTTGTTCTACTATCTCTGTCTCCCTGGATACTATTCTTTAGGCTTGTCCTTTTTTATGAAGATTGCTGTATCTTTCAAATCTCTTGATTATAGGGTTCCTTTGACATCCTTTTTGTTAATGTATGAAACAATTTGGGTCTTATGACTGTCTTTATAATACTGTGTTTTGTACTCATGGTACAGTTCAAAATGTTTCTGTAATTCCAGAGAATTGGCAGCTAAACCTGGATCATTTTAGATTTTATCTTGCCCCCTCCCCCAATACTGTGTTATTGTTGTGTGCTGTCAAGTAGATTCCAACTCACAGCAACCTTGTATGAAAGAATAGAACTGCCCTATATGGGTTTCTAAAATGGAATCTTTATATGAGGATGTTACCAGATCTTTTTTGTCCCATGAAGTGATGATCGGTAGACTTGAACCTCTGACTTTCAGTTAGCAATTGAGTGCTTAACATTGCACCACCAGGGCTGCTTGTCAGGATTATTGTTAGGTGCCGTTAGGTTGGCATAATCGGTGCTTAAGCTCTGCAGAAGAAAGTTGTAGTTTGCTGCCATAAAGATTGTATCCTGGGAAAGCCTGTAGGACTTCTCAGTCCTGTAGTGTCACTACGCATTGCAGTCATTTTGGTGGCAATGGGTTGTAAGCCAGTTTGGTTTACTGAAACCTATTATTTAATCACTTCTTTGGGAAGAGTGCACGGGCACCGTATTCCCTCAGTTCTTAGATAGTAATCACATTTTGTGTTCTTTTTACCGGGAGCTCAGTTTTGTTGGCTGTAAAACTGATTTACACTTTATTTTTTTTCCCCCCCTTTTTTTTTTTACACATTTTTTTCCCCTTTTAGTATCTTATATTAGTTTAGTTTGTTTTGGCATAAACACTGCTGTACAAAAACTTAAGTAATCCTCTGATTTTCTTTTCCTTAAGGTCAGGTGCTCCTTTTTTTATAAGATAATAGAAGATTCTTCTCTCCTCCCTTTTTTTTAAAGACCAGCAATTTTGCTGGAACCTAAGTTGGCCTTGTTCTTTTATGGGTGCTAATACATGGATGCTAGTAGTATGTAGTACACTGTGTACATTCAAATTTTTTTATGTAAAAAAATCTTCAGTTTTTGATTGTAATTTTTAGTTACCTTATTGCTTTGCTTTTTTTTTCTTTAGGTATTTCTTTTTTCCTTATATTGGGTATTTTTTGCTAATTACAGTGTTTGCCATATTCTCAAATTCAGTTGGGTAAGGAGCTTCATTCACTGCAACCCCAAAGGCACAGTGTTCTAATCTACCAGGTGCTCTTTGAGAGAAAGATGGACCCTCTTGTGATTTACTTCCTCTGAAAACATGCTGGAGGGTCAGCAGTGAGTTGGTTCCTTCTCTCTGGTACACAACAGCCAACAGCTTAAGAAAAATAAACATCAAATTCTGTGAAATAAACTTGAAATTCTTTGTTGTGGTGGTGCACCCTCTGGTTGGAACTAATGCAAACCCGACCCTCAAGTGGGTTTTCGGAGGCATTACGGAAGGAGATTGCCCCTGTTACTCCTACAGAGTAGCTGGTGGATTCAAACCATGTGCTGTTGAGTTAGCAGTGCATCTCCTTATCACTAAGCCACCAGAACTCTCTGTGTTTTGGAGAAAGTGCACCAGGATGCTTCTTGCAGGCAAGGACGACACAAAGGACAACACAGCTTCATCTCACGTACTTTTGGGCATGTTGCCAATAGAGGCTCTTCTCTGAAAAGGGACATCATGCTTGAAAAGTGGAGGGTCAGTGAAGGAAAGGAAGACCTCCAATGAGATGGGTTGACACGATGATTGCAGCAGTGGGTTCAACTGTGTTAGAGATGATGAGGATGGCACAGGATAGGACATGTTTCAGATTGTTGTTCATAGGGTTGCTGTGACTTGTATTTGATTCAGCAGTACCAACAATAACAACAAGAAGGGTGTTTTCTGATAGCCATCTCTCCAGTGCTAATAGTTTACTATGATCAGCTCACTGCCACTGAGGCAGTTCTGACTCCTAGCTGACCTCCATCTGCTTTCTGAGACTAACTCCTAATGAGAGGCGATGGCCCTTGGAGTTACTGGTACATTTGAACCACCATCTTTGGGATAGCAGTGCAGCTTACTAGGAGCTATACCACCAAAGCTATATGCTATCCAATGAAAAGGTTATCAACTTGAGTTAGTAGGTGAACTTCAAGAGCACCTCCCTTCAATATTTTGAGATTTTTACGAATTTCTTTTTGAAAAAGAATTTACAGCTTTTGTTGAAATTTTGGAAGTAACGTATAGCTCTGAAGGAGTTGATATCCAAAGGTACTATAGGCATAGAAATGATCTTTGGAAATGTATGTGTCATCTTTACAACTGGAGATAGTTGTAATACCAGCTGAAATGAATTTTCTGTCTTCTAAACTTGTATTAAATGGATTTTCTTCTTAGTTTAGAGATACCGTGTGGTCTGCTGCATGAGTTTGAGTTTCTTTTCTTTACCTAAGATATTCATCTCATCTTGTTAATTGTTTGCCATTAATCAAATACATACTTATTTTCTTTTTACAGAAATGAGAGATAAAATGAGAAAATGGAGAGAAGAAAACTCTCGAAATAGTGAGCAAATTGTAGAAGTTGGAGAGGAGTTAATTAATGAATATGCCTCTAAACTTGGAGATGATAGTGAGTTCTTTAGTTAATTGCCTTTAATATGATTGGAAGGTGCACATATCTCTTTTCTGGTGCTTAGTAGTTACTGTTTTTACCTTCAATTAAATCTAAGTGTATATATAATGTTTTCTGCTGTTCAGGTCAGCTTCTCTGTAATTGCTCACGTCTGAAAGTTTACTGATACTACGTGAAAGATGTATAATTGTTGGTAATGGTATTTGGTATCTTGGTTGGTTTTAATTATGGTGCCAACCGTAGTTGGTATTCTTGTTTAATGCTCAAAAACCTATCATTCCAATGAAACCACAGCTCTGGTTTGACCAATGGTATTTCATAAAGATTCTTTAGAATAACTATAATGTTTAAATAATTTTAATTTTTTACTTTATGAAATACTAAAATATTTTTAAACATTGAAAGCGTATAAACTCAAAACCTGAACTCTTCACCATCAAATCTATTTTGACGTACATGAACTGTGGGACAAAGCAGAAGTGCACCCCACGGTTTCCTAGACTCTAAATTGTTCAGAAAGCAGGTTGCCACATCTTTGTCCCGTTGGGAAGTAGCTAGTGGTTTTGAACAGTTCTACTAGGAATGTTTTGCTTCCTTAATTTCAGAAAAAACGTCATTATCTCAGCTTTGAGTTATACATGGTATTTTCTAGTATATGAGAGATCAAGAACAATTAATTAATATCCTGGTTTTGGTGATTTTTATTTTAAATTCAGTCTCTTTCCCCCTTTATATAACTAGTTTGGATCATCTATGAACAAGTGATGATTGCAGCCCTAGACTTTGGACGGGATGATTTGGCATTGGTAGGTATTTGATTACATTTTATCTTAGATTTAATTTGCTTCATAAATTACAGATAAATGTAATTGTGTAATTTTTACACAATTTTTATGAGCTAATTCCATAGCTATACTCAGGTCTACTCTGGAATTTATCAATGTTTGGTCCTTTACCAAGGATTTCCGGTGCTGGAGCTATTATGAGTAAATGGCACAAATGAGATGGATCGATTCTGTGACTGGAATGGTAGAAATGAGTGCATTAGAGATGGCTAGGTTGGCACAGGATAGAACGGCGTGTAGGGCTCTTGTGCATAGGGTCGTAAGCATTACTATGAGTCGCAAGTGACTCAGTGGCACATAACAACACATAACAACAACAACAACAACATACTATATAACCCATATAATAAGTAGTTAAGACCAAGTATGTATGTTGTGTTTAATGTTTCCTTAGGCTGGTTTTGAATACTGCTGTAATAGTAACTGACTAATGAGATGCTTTGGGATACTGTAACTTTATATCTTCATAGTAATTCTGAAGAAGTAGGGTTTTTTAGTGTTCCTGGTTTACTGAAGAGGCTAAATTAGTTGCCAGAACAATTAATTAGTGAATTACACTGTTCCAAAGAGTTTAAAATAAGAAGCATAGTTTATAATAGGTTTATCTTTTGAGCTATTGAGTAATTTTCCTAGTATGTAATGTTACTGTTATGCTATGCAATATTGTAAATAAATATATAAATATAAATATTGCATGATGTCAAAGAATAAAGAGACCTCATCTTCACTTTGACTGACTTGAATATTTTTCTTAGCATGTCACATTCTTAGGATAGATTTTGAAGCTATATTTTAAAAATAATATTAAAAACTTAATTTTGTTGGTTAATTTAGCACTAAATTATAGGTATCTTTTGGTTATTTATATTTGGAGCACAAGAATGGACCATTTATGTATTCTTTAACATTTTTAGCATTTTCAGGGCTCTTAAAACTCACTATATAGTGCTGAGAACATAATAGATACTTAGACTTGATAATTTATTTAATTGAGTTGATGGACAGATTATTCATTTCTGTCTGAAGGAAACAGCAAGTACTCTCAACTTGATTTCTGCATTTTCTCACCTCAAATCAGAGTATGTGGACTGACAAGATGTTTGGTTATGTATGATTCGAACAGAGCAGAATTAAAATACTATTATGATTGTATTGTTGTTGTTAGGTGTCATCTAGTCATAGACAGCTCGTAGTGACCATGTGAACAAAAGCCCTGAACACTTGTATAACTTTCATCCATTTCTCTAAGTTTATAGAGTTTCCAGAGGCAAGCTATTTCGGAAGTGGATGCCACTTCTTCTTCCAAGCTTGTTTTAATCAGGGAGCTCCACCAAACACTGTCCACCCTGGGTAACCATTACTGCATTTGACACATCAGTGTCGCAGTGTTGAGCATCACAGAGCAACCACGAGTTTTTATTGTATTAGATAATTGAAATAACTAGCGAAGAACTTAGTTCTTATCTTGAGAATGCGTATGCTAAATTTATGAAGACCAGTTCACAGGTAACAGTAATTAGAGAAGCAGGTTAATTATTATAACTTTGTGGAAATATCATTGTTATGATGTAAGCAATTCATTGTTTGAAAAGCTACGGAATAGATAACATCAGAATTGTGTGGCATTTTTAAGGATGCTTGTAGAAAGCTTTAGGGCCTTTTGGCTAATCAGAGGTTAATAAAGAGGTTGCTGTATATAGGTGTACTGTAAAAATGGACTAGATTTACATGAAGATTTTGAGAAAATAGGGAGGAGCTAGCTAATTAGTGTAAATAGTTCTATTTATAAGAAATAGAATAACAGTTGGAATGGCGTAGGATATAGCTAGATGTTTGTGACTGTTGAATAAATCGCTAATAGGAAACTGTCTGCATGTAAGACCTGATATCATGAAAGCATTTTTTAAGAGAGATGCAGTATTTAAAGAGTTACGGTGGACCTCATCCATTGCTGATTTTCCCAACTTAGACGTTAAGTTTCTTATAACTGCTGCCTTCACTGCAATTCTATGCTTGTATTATTTACCCCACTATTTATATAGATTAATTTCTCTTTGTGCAGTTGTTGTTGTTAGGTACGATAGAGTCAGAACTGACGCATAGGTCACCCTCCAGTGGGCCTTCATAGACTCTAAATCACATGGGAAGAGATTGTCTGTATTTCCCCCAAGGAACCACGTACCTTTGAGTTGTCAGTTCAGCTCCTCAGTACTAAGTCACCAGAGCTCCCTGCTATGCCATTAGATCATACTAATGAAATGACTTCAAAAAATACATTAAAGAGTATGCAAGTCATTGCTTGTGGCTCATTTAGCATATATAGTTTAATAAATATTCTTTAAGTCTTACTTAACGGGTTTTGTTTTTTTTCTGTGGGTTTTTTTTTTTTTTTTTTTAGTTTTGTCTTCAGGAATTGAGACGACAATTCCCTGGCAGTCATAGAGTGAAGCGACTAACTGGCATGAGATTTGAAGCCATGGAAAGGTAACAGAATCTTATAAATTGTGCTGTGGTGGTGGTGGTGGTATATGCCTTCAAGTTTCCCGCGACTCATAGCGATCCTGTCACAGTAGTTCTGAATCCTGTCTTATCCTGAGCCAATCTCACTGTCTCTGACACACCAGTCCCTTTTACCCCAGTCACTGTAACAATCCATCCCATCCAGGGTCTTCCTTCACTGCATCGTCCTTCCACCCTTCCAGGTATGATGTCATTCTCTAAGGACCATCCCTCTTGACACCATGCCCAAAGTATGTGAGTCAGAGCTTAAAAAAGTGGCAAATAATCTGACTTAGATTTATGTAGATCCTCCTACGTCTGTGGCAAACATCTTTAATAGAAGTCTTTTTTTCTCTTTCTCTGCTGATCATTAAAATAGTGTTAAGAGAGCTCCTCAGGATAAATCCTATAAAAAATTTCATGTAAAATTGTAATCCAGTTGCCCAGTGAAATGGTACTATGCTTTAGGGTAAGAGCAGGTTTCAATATTAATATTGAAATTCAATACCTGTTGACCTGACAAATTATAATCAGAGCTGTAAAAGCTGGAGCCTGTAAAGCCGGAACCCTGTTAGAGCAGAAAAACACAAGTGTTTCCCACTTAAAACGAGCCATTGAGAGGGGAGGAGTTACGATGGTGCTCTGGTCAGGCACGCTGTATCATCCTTCTACAGCAAACTCCAGAAAACCCACGTGAAATAGAGGATAATCCTGGAACTTTGAACAGTAAGTGAAAGGAGAAGAATTTACACACCCATTGGAAGTAAAACTGATTGAAATACGTGAATAGCGAGAGAGAGATGGAACTGGAGGTATCCTGGTAGCTGGCTTGGCAAAGGGTGGTCTTTTTGAGGCAATGTGAGAAGTGTTCTTGGGTGAAAAGCATAGGAAGGCAACTTTACAGAATCCCCGGTAAGACAGACAGAGTGTAGACAAGTCTGTACTCAAGCAACATGGAAAGAAAATAAAAAACCAAAACAACTACATTTAAAGAAGGAAAGTAGAAAGGTGCGACTGTGGAAACTCAAGTGATCACATGCCAGAGAAAGAGCCAATAAATTCACCAGCAGAGGTCCTTGGGTAATTGGGTTAGGGAGCCATGAGGAGGAGAGAATCCCTGGGAGATGAAATGCTCCTGACTCCTATCTCTCAGTCAGTGAGGGCTAGATCTTGATACCCAGCTTACCCAAGACCATAGAGATGCCCACACCAAGGACCAGTGACTGAATGCGTACGCTCTTTTTGCCTTCTCCCCCATATTGTCATAGTGATCAGAGATGCCGTCCTATCCAAGCCACCGGGCCTCCCCTCCTCCACCAAGCACTCTGCTCAGCCCAGAACCCCTTCATTACTCCAGCAGTCAGCATCGTGTGTTCCCACGGAGCACCCTGTGCCAGCCACCTCTGTCGTCAGCAGCCTGCAGCGTACACTCATGGATCACGTGCTGTACGCCTGCTGTCTCTGTGGTCGTTGGTGTGTGCTCTCACAGAACACATGGCCTGTACTTACTGCCTTCCTGGATGGCAGGTGTGTGCACGTGTGAACCACAGGTGCAACCTTGTCCTTGTCCTTCAGCCTTCACCTTGCTCAAGGGCTCTATTGCAGTCACTGGTCAGTCCATCTCATTCGGCTCATCTTCTCTTTGCTCACCCTCCACTGTCCTCAGACTTTTCCCAAAGACTGAAAATGGCCTCAAAATATGTGAGATGAAGTGTCATCATCCTAGCCTCTAAGAAGAGTCATGATTGCATTTACTCTAAGACTAATTTGTTTATTCTTTAGCAGTCTGTGGTATATCCAGTACTTTCCCCCAGCACCACAATTCAAAGACATTAATACAAATCAAACACAATGAGATATCATCTCACCTTGAGAGTAATAAAAAGGATCATAAAAACTATTAACAGCAAATGCTGGTTAGGGTGCTGTGATACTGGAATTTCCCTTAGAATGGGATTCTAAGATGGTAACAGCTACCTTGGTAAATGGTGTGGTGAATACTGAAAAACTTTGAACTACTACATGATCCAGCAATCCCTCTAGGACATACATACTATGATATATACAGACGTCCTAGAGAAAGGAGAACTGGGACATGAATAGATACATACACATCTATGTTCATTGCATTAGTTACAGTAGCAAAAGGATGGAAGCCACTTAAGCACCCATCAGCGATTAGATGGATACACTATAGTATGTACACACAACAGAATACCACATGTTGCTAATGAATAATAATGAATTCACAAAACATCTCATTGTGGATCAATGAGGACGTTATGCAGAATGAAATTAATCACAGAAAAAATAACATAAGACTTCTATTGAAAAATGTCAAGAAAAGAGTAGACCTCTTTTTAACTTGGATAAAGGACAAGGCAATAGAAAGAAGAGGTCAGCAAAATGTTCCCAAGACGAAGGAAGACGTTACGAGGTACAGTAATGGTAAATGCTGTTACCTTCATGGCCTTTCAGTAGCAGTAATAACCTCTTTGTGATTGGATATGTAGACCATTGATGGTTGGATACATAAATTCCCAGCAGATGTGGGATAGTGCATGGGAGTGAGTATATTCACGAGCATATGTTCATTGGACAAGGGGGTATTTCTCCATACTTACTTGTAGATATTACAGGTATCCAGATACATAGCATGTAGGAGAAAAAGTTAAGACATCTTGTTAGCATTAATCAGTCACTTTGGACTAAATCTCTGGGCTTGGGGTCTTAACACCATAGTTTTGCAGGATAGATGACAATGAAGTGGTAGAAGGAACTGACTAATAATTTTAAGAGCAGAGGGCAGAATGTTTCCCAAGTCTATAGTAACTCCTGTCTCAGAGCAGACACTTTTAAAGAACTGAGGTTGGAGTCTTCTACCCGTTCTCTGATGATAAAATTCTCAAAATGGGTAAAAATGAAAGGAGAAGCCATCGACATGGAAGCCATCTGATGAATGGAGACTATAGATAGTAAGGTGCTTTGATAATTACCTAGACTGGCTCATTGATCTTGCATGCCTACAGAAGGTCTTGAGATCTGTGTCTATGCCAGTGGAAGATTATTTCTGTTCCAGGACAAAAACTGGTTCCACTTGTCAGATAAACACAAGTTTTATCTGACGAGATAGTCTTTGAAAGACTATCCATAGTGAAGTGGCAGGCAGCATGAAGACTTTTTGCCTTTAGACTTCTTTGGCTACCAGATATTTTTACTAGAACGTAGAACTCAGAACCTTGTGTGTGTATGTGTGTGTATTTGTGTGAGTATGCACATATGGGTGAAAAATATATATAACACGCATTTTTTAAAAAAAGAAGATAGGCTCGTGATGACAGATGAAGGGAAGATAAGAAAAATTATTTGAATTTCTGTCTTGAGTACCTTGGTCTTATTAATTATTAACTAAAAGACAAAATACAGGAGGATGAGGAAGGAATAGGTTTGGATTGAATGACATTGAGTTTTACGTGGTATTATGGCATATCTGCTGGAAGAGATAAAGACTTAGATGAATGTTCCAAAAAACTACTCAGAGATGCTATTTGTACTTTTCAAGCTAGTTTTGCATTGAAGGGATGAAACGATTATTGTAAGAATGTAAGTTGGCGCCTTTGTATGAAGAATCTTAAAAGGATTTGTTCACTTTGAAAGCTTTTGGCACATAATGCCAAATTGTCCATCAGAAGATTATATGAGTTCAGTGGCCAAGATCTGTTAGAGTCCTGCCTCATCTTTAAAAACAGAGAACATGGCCACTTTTATTACTCATCTTGAGCTCTGTATCTGTGGGTTAGTAAAAACCCAACCTTTTATTGTAAAATTGCCAAATTTCAAATGCTGACTATTACGTTTGTAATTTGTCTACTCAACCATTGTTGTTATGTGCTGTCGAGGGTGTTTTGTATTTTTCAAAAGCACCATGTTTAGTATATGGAATGATGGGATTTCATAAATATCGGCACACAGATAGCTATAACTCCAGTCAAAATGTAGAACTTCTTTTTTTAAAAAAAATTTTTTTAGAACATTTTTTTAATAACATAAAACTGTGTCATACAAAGCCCTCTGCTCAGGCAATTGCTGGTCTTAAATTCTGTCATTACAGATTAGTCTTTCCTATTTCATATAAGTAAAAACATTTTGTTGAGCAGGATGTTTTTGAGATTCCTACAAGTTGTTTTGAATATCATTGGTTTTTTTTTTTTTGGTATTGCTAAGTAGTTCCATTGTATGGATATGACCACAATTTGTTTATCCATTCTGCTGTAGAGTATTTTGGTTGTTTTTTTGTTTGGGTTTATTACACATAAAGTTACTAAAAATAGGAATGGATATTTTGATTCATTAATATTTTCATTCCTCTTAGATAAATGCCCAGGAATAGAATTGCCAAGTTACATGGTAAATACATGTTTAATTTTTGTAAGAATTTCCCACACTGTTTTTCTGTACAGATTTTGCCATTTCATCTGCCCATCCATAATGTTTGTTGCTTTATATTTTTCTCAGTATTTGATATTGCTGTTTTATTTTAGCCCTTCTGGTGGGGGTCATTTTAATTTTATCCATCACTAAATATTGTACTTTGCTTATGTTTATTGACTTTGTGCCTGTTTCATGAGGTGAAATATTTTTTTTTTCTATAATTATATTTTATTAATTTTCATAAACATTTACAGAGATTTTGGGCTTCCACTCATTCATTGTTGCACTATTCTCTCTACCCTCCTCCCAGTTTGTTCTTGTCCAAATGCCACAGTGCTTGTCAAAGCCAGTTCTGATTAGTCTTCTTTGTCAGTGTATCCTTTGCCATTCCCTATCACTCCTCCCTGAGAGAGACTTCACCCTGAGTCATAAGGAAAAGGGGATGGCGTATTCTCTTAGCTACTTCCTGCTGAAAAGGGACGCTGTGGGTTTCAGGGTGAAGATCTTCTCTCACTACTCTAAAGGGCCCCTTTGGCAGTAGGAAACACATAGACTATTATGGAGATTGATTTTGGAATTCAGATGCACTCTTATTGATTGTGCTTGGCTGTACATGTACATATCCTTCAAGATGTATCATGGGGGTGTTGCAACCTAGAAGACACAAATTTGACTAACAAGTTATAAGTACATGAGTCCAAAAATTATGGAAAAGTAAAAGATTCTTTCATTGTTTTACAAACCCTCCCCCAGGTCCCCTCCACCATGTAGCCCTCGCTCTAGTCTCCTGTGATGACAGAAATACCCAGTTACATCTCTCTTTTAGACGGTTCTCTCCCTTCTCTGCTTCAGTGCAGTATACATTATTGAACCCATCTTACTCAGTGTCTCCCTAACCCCAAGGACAGTCCCATTCTACAACAGTGGCATCATGTAATATTTGTCCTTTTGTGATTCATGAGGTGAAATCTTATTTGTTGCTTAATTGGTGATTTTTTTTTAATTCTTGCTTATATTTTTGCTGGATATGTATTTTTATTTATTCTCTATTGATACCCAGAATTAAAAATCTTTGGTTCTGAAATCCCATATAGCATGTATTGGCTGAACTTTGAGTATTAGGAATCAAAATTTACATAAAAATAATTCTCTGGTAACTTATATCATTTATAGTCTCATTACCAGTTCATGTGAGTTTTGGTTGCTATCATCTTTTACAACATATGATATTGTTAATCTTTTAAAAATGTTTTAATTATTATTCTTGATTTTTGGTTTTTGAAATTTGGTTTTAGTTCAGTGATTCCATGTGACAGCAGAACTGCCCCTTGGAATTTTTCTAGACTGTAATCTTCATAGGACAGCAAGCCTTTTTGTCAAAGGGCCTTTGGGAAAATTTGAACCACCCTGGGTAGCAGTTGAACACTGAACTGTTGCACCACCAGAATCCTTTGCAATCATTCCAGTGGGTCTGAAATACTGTCTCATTATATTTTTAATTTGCATTTTTTGACAGCTAACAATAGAAAACACTTTCATGTGCTGATTGCCTTGTCAGATAACTTTAAAAAAAATACATTTAAAAAATGTCTTCACCCATTTTTTTTAAATTGTACTACTTACCATTTTATTTTAATTTATGGAAATTTGTCATATATTCTAGAGCAAAGAAGGTTGTCAGATATATATAAGTATTTGCACTTTTTTTTTAACCTGAACTTTTAGGCCAACAGGTTGATCATGACTTTTGGCAGGAAGCTTCATTTCTTCATATGGACCTACTCTTAGGGTTGTCTCAGTGACAGTCAATTGACTGAGATAGCAAAGAAGCAACAGTGTCTTTTACAGCTTCGTTTCAGATGGCACATTGTTATTTCTGTCAGTCCTATTGATTATCCTACTGATCACAGGTTTAGCTCTGTCCACTGTGAAAGGCAACTCTCCAAGGCTATGAATACCTGCAGGTGAGAAGGACTAAATCATCTTGAAGGGTAGCTACTACGGTGTGCCCTTGGTCAATAATTTATATCCCTCTTGCATGTAAAATTAATCCCAAGGCCCTAAAATTCTTTTGCCATTGTAGCACCAGTCCAAAGTCCAAGATTCACAGCTTCCTAACTAGATTAAGGTACAGATGAGGTTTCCTGAGTCTAGTTCTGCAAGTGCTATTCCTCTCCATTTGAAGGTCTTTGAGACAAATTACCTTCCCCCACATACATCCTACATATGATGGTAAATCATGCATAGGATAATTTTCGTACATATATCAGTTTAAAAATGGGGGAAATGAAGGGCATGGAAAAGTTACTTGTCTTGGAGTTCTGAAATGCCATACAACATGTGTTAGCCGTGCCTTGATTAGGATTCAAGCTCCACCTTGTGGGCTGTTCTGTCACCTGAGTGATACAGCCAAATACTACATCCCCTTTATTCCTGTAACTTTGTTTAGTTTAGAAATAGAAAGTGGAATTCCTCTCATTTTGTTCTTTTTTCAAGCTCTATCCCTTGATATTTTATAGGTGTTTTTGTACTCAGCTCTTCAAATGCTTATTACCTTTTAAACATGGCATTTTAAGTAGACTTTGAGTTAACGTGAGCTGTCAGTTGTAGTTGCTAAAGAAATGTGTATTGATTTATTTTTCCAATTTCTTTATTCTTTGCTTTTTGTTCCTGTACTTGAGTGTGTCTAACTGTATTTCATTCTCTTTAGATCCTCTGAATAAGCATGCAAAATATATTTACAAGACCCCAAATTCCCAAATTCTCCCACAGTACATAGATAAAGGGAAAGGAATACATTGATTTTTTGAATTACAATAGGAAAACATGGAAAGGTTTTTATTGCTCCTGAACAATCTTTACTCCGCTTTTTATTTTGTTTCTAGTTATAGGAATGCTTAAGACTGTAAGACACAGGTTTTTTAAAATACGGGAATATGACACATATTCCAGAATCCAAAATGAATGTCTTAAGTTGACTTGGTAGAGAACCATTACTTTGCAAAGCATACATTTTAATAGTTGACATACCTCCAGGTCCTTTTCAACTATAGTAAAAATTGATAGGCAGCAATAAGGTCCTGACCCCCGACGTTAAATTCAGGTTTTCAACAGTTTTTATTTATATTACTGTGCATGCTTAAACCTAATAATTTTTGTTTGTATAAGCTGTATTCTTGAGATTTGCATCGTGAGTTAGTTTAACTAGTGAGATTTTGCTGGTTTTTTTTTAAAAGTTACTAGTGTAGAGATTTTTGCATAGAGGTTAGTATAGAACAGTGATACTCATGTGATTACAGGCTCTCTTACTATTTTTCATTTTATTAATGTGTCTTATTTTTCCTGAGATAGTAACACAACACACTAGATTGTGCGTGTGTACTTAGTTCTTAATGAATTGAACCCCACTAGCTCAACTAGGAAAAGCTATTATAAATGTTTGTTTAATGTTTGTGAGTTTTTGTTGAAATTAAGTTTGTTTCATAGACTGTAATTCTAGATATACTAGCAATGGGTTGTGTTTCTGTGTGTGTGTGTGTGTGTGTGTGTGTGTGTGTGCGCGCGCGCGCGCGCGCGTTACTAATTTTTACCCATTATACCAGTGTGTTTGGGTAGTAAATTTTTCAATAACAGTTTTATGCTACTCTGAGAAGAATGGGAATTCCAGAATACCTGATTGTGCTTATGGAAAACCTATGCTTGGACCAGGAAGCAGTCTTCAGAACAGAGCAAGGAAACACTGTATGGTTCAAAATTAGGAAGGATGTGTGTCAAATGTCCTATCTCCATATCTTTTCAATCTATATGCGGAACAGATTATCCCAGAGGCTAGGCTCTATGAGAAGAAGTGTGGCATCAGGATTGGAGGTAGACTCATCAACAATCTGTATTATACAGATGATACAACCCTGCTTGCTGAAACTGAGGAGGACCTGAAGTGCTTGCTGCAGAAGGTCAAGGACTGGAGTCTTCAATATGGATTGAAGCTTAACCTCAAGCAAACAAATATTCTCACTGCTGGGCTGATTGGCAGCATCATGATGGATGATGAAGAGATTGATATTGTTGACAGCTTTAGTTTGCTTGGCTCTACAATCAACACTCTTAGTACCAGCAGCCAGAAAATTAAAAGATGACTTGCATTGGGAAAGTCTACTGTCAGAGACCTCTCCAAAGTACTGAAGAACAACAATGTCAGTCTGGAGACTAAGGTGCACCTGATACAGGCCATGGTCTTTGCAATTGCTTGCTATGCATCTGAGAGCTGTACAATGACTAGGGGTGATTGAAGGAGAGTCGATGCCTTTGAGCTGTGGTGCTGGAGAAAAGTATTGACTATATCATGGACTGCTAAGAGAATAAATAGGTTTGTCCTGTTGTTGTTATGTGCCATCGAGTCGCTTGCAACTCATAGCAACCCTGTGTACAACAGCCCTAAACACTCTCCTATGCCAATTGCACTGTCTCCGATACACTGATTCCGATTATCCCAGTCACTGAATCAATCCACCACACAGAGGGTATTCCCCTCCTGTGCTGTCCCTCCACCCTCCCAAACATAATCTCCCTCTCCAAGGACCAGTCCCTCCTTACATGTCCAAAGTATGTCAGACGAAGCCCCAGAATCCTTGCCTCCAAGGAACAGCATGGTTTAACCCTCTCCATGATAAATCTGTTTGTTTTCTTGGCAGCCCATGGAACATTTAATACTCTTCTCCAGCCCCATAGCTCAAAGGCATCAATTCTCTTTCTATCCTCCCAAGTCATTGTCCAACTCTCTGACATATAACAAGTGATTGCAAAGACCATGGCCTGTATCAGACTCACCTTAGTCTTCAGAGAGATACCATTGCTCTTCAGTACTTTGGAGAAGTCCCTAACAGCAGATGTTCCCATCACAATACGTCTTTTAATTTCCTGGCTGCTGGTACCAAGAGTGTTGACAGTGTAGCCAAGCAAATTAAAGCTGTGAACAATCTCAATCTCTTCACCATCCATCTTGATCTGTCAGTTGGTTCAGTGGTGAGAATCTTTGTCTTCTTGGAGAGGGTTAAACCAGGCTGCTCCTTGGAGGCAAGTATTCTGAAGCTTCATCTGACATACTTTGGCTCTGTTGCAAGGTGGAATCAGTCCTTGAAGGACATCATGTTTGGGAGGGTGGAGGGACAGTGCAGGAGAGGAAGACCCTTGATGAGCTGGATTGATTCAATCACTGGGGTAATGGAGATAGGTGTGTCAGAAACAAAAAGATTGGCAAGGGATAAGCAGGGTTTAGGGCTGTTGTACATAGGGTTGCTGTGAGTCGCAGGCAACTTGATGGCACATAAAAACAACAACCACCTCTGTTTTAAAAAATAGAACTGGAACAAATTTTTACTGTTAAATGAAGATAAGAGGTTTGAATAGCAGTTATAACTGTAAAATGAAATGTCAAGTATTATAAGTTTAGTTGTTTTCTGTCCTTACCTGTTTAATCTCTAATTTTAAGGTAATCTTTCTTGATGTTTCTTTTTCTTTCCAAATAGATATGATGATGCTATACAGCTTTATGACCGAATTTTACAAGAAGATCCAACTAACACTGTAAGTTAGCTGATTGTCCTAAAGCTTAATTTAAGGAAATAGTAGAAAAATGTATATGGAATGGGGCTTTAATCTTTTTTCTTTAAAAAAAAGTACATACCTAGTGATGTGTTTTTTTAAAATGTTGAGAATGCTTTAGTTTAACATATTACTGTTAAACCTCCCCTCACACTTTATAGTAAGTTAAAAGTTAAATAGAAATTTCACATAACATATCATATATAAACATAGTTTAATGAGAGAGATGATAAACCAGGGTAAGATGTGTCTCGAGAGAATAGCTATTTAACTAGCTAATTAGCCTTGTTGTTGTTGATTGTCTTTGAGTTGAGCACGACTCATAGCAAGCCCATGACAAAAAGGCCTAAAGCCCCTCTACAACTCTTAACTTTTATCAAAGTTCCTAGAGTTTCTGGAGGCATGTTGTTTAGGAAGTGGATGTCACTCCTACTTCCATACCTGTCAAAGTATGTTATTGTTGTTATGTGCCATTGAGTCATCTGTGATGTATAGTCACCCTATGTACAACAGCTCTGAACCCTTCCCTGTCCTGAGCCAATCTCCCTAATTCCGACACACCAACCCCCATTGTCCCACTTACTCTATCAATCCATCTCATCTGGGGTCTTCCTCTCCTGTGCTGTCCATCCACCCTTCTGAGTATGATGTCCTTCCCCAAGGACTGATCTCTCCTGGCCATGTGCCCAAAGTAAGTGAGGCAGAGCTTCAAAATCCTAGCCTCCATGGAGAGACTTGGTTTCAACCTCTCCAAGGCAGACCTATTTGTATTCTTGGCAGTACACGGTATGTTCACGGCTCTTCTCCAGCACCACAACTCGAAGGCATCTATTCCTCTTTTGTCATGCTTAATCATTGTCCAACTCTCTGAAGCATAACAAGTAATTGAAAAGACCGTGGCCTGGATTAAGCTCACCCTTGTTTCTAGACTGACATCATTGCTCTTCAGCACTCTGGAGAGGTCCATGACAGCAGCAAAAAATCTTTCTCTGAAGTTTGTACATGAGATTTGTACTTACATCCTCTTAAACAAGAAATGGACAATAGTATGAGAGACCAGTTGCAGTGTGTAGTGTAAGGCATCACAGAAGTGACTGGTGATCATATTTAGAGGTGATTGGGGAAGGGAGGGTTTGACCAGGTGGCTGAGTGTGCAAGGAATGGGGATGTAGCAGGAAAAGAGTAGAGATAAGTCACATGTGCTTGGATGGGTGGGCAGTGAATTTATTGGTTATTTCTATAAGGGAAGTGTCTTTCAGATATTCTTCTAAAACTGAACATCCAAATTAAGACATATTAGGAAGAAGGATTGGCCATCCACTTCTGAAATATAACTGGCCTTTGAAAACCCTATGTACAACAGACCACACTTAACTATAAGCATTATGAAAGTACAAAACTTGCTTAAGGAAAATTGAATAAGGTGATTACAAAGGAAGTTTTAATGTTTTCTTTTTGTATACCAATGTTCTTTGCAGCATTATTTATGAAATTGTGTAGCAGAAAAGTAGAAACAACCTAAGTGTGCATCAGCAGATCACTGAATAAACAATTTGCAGTATGTGTGTACTCAAAAAACCTCAAACTCACTGCTCTCAAGTGGGCTCTCATTCATCATGGCCCTTCGTCAGGTTCGTGAGGCTGTATATTGCAACAAAAGCTGTTTGCCCATCTTTCTCCTACAGAGCCAGGAGAGATGCGTAGTCTGGATCTCCAGGCCTCCTTGGTATATACATTGTTGTTAGGTGCCATCGAGTTGTACATCACTCATAGTAACTCTATAAACAACAGGTAGGGAAGGGACCGATGTAAAGTTACTATTTTAAAGTTATCTCTGCCATAAGACTTAGAGCTTCTGAAAACTTGCTCAAGGGTCAGCCAAGAGTTGGTTTGGACTCAGTAAGTTTGAGGGATTTTTTGAAGTTTTTATTGGGGCAGTGAAAAATTTTAGAAGTAGATAAATAGTGATGATGGTTGCAAAACATGATGCGTATAAATAATGTCACAGAATTGTATGTAGACTTAAAGTGGCTATAAAGGAATTTTTTCTTATACATATTCTACTACAATCAGAGTTTTTAAAATTGACTATAACAGAGCTGAAGGAACCCTGGTGGCATAATGTGTATGTAGTACCTTCAGCTGCTAACCAGATTCGAAAACACCAGCCTCTCTTCAACCAAGATGGATAGTCACTTCCCATAAACATTTACAGCCTTAGAAAATTATTGAAGGGTTCCTGTGAGTGGGAACTGACTGAATGACAGTGGGTTTTGTAGTAGAATGTTAGTATTAAAACTTTATTTGTTATTCTTAGAGAATTATGATACTCCACCCATCTCAATCCATACAATTCAAACCTTTTTTATCCAAAGTTAGTTACTTAATTTGCCTTATTTCATTTTATGCTTTCAGGAAATACCATGGAAATAGCTAGGAACGGAATTGAAATTTTGAATTCTATTTCTTATTCTGCTGCTTTTGATGTATTTAAGCTGTTTAAACCTTTATGTTCAAGCATTTAGAATAGGATAATACCTCCCTTGCTTTGCCTCTTGAAGACTATTTGTAAGAATTATTTTTAAAAACACTTTAGAGCAATATTTTGCTAACTATATTTTACAGAATCCTACAGATGTTACTGTATGTCTAACAGAAGAGGAGGGTTTTCTATATTAGATAACATTGAGAAGCTGAATTTGAAGTTAGGAAATTTCCTTTTCTTTCACCAAACTCATATTGTATATATCTACTGTAATACTCACATACGTCCCTTAGTGTTGATATTTATATTTTAAATTGTTTATGGCATTGAAGTCTATGGGGGAGAGAATAGTTTAAAAGTATCATATTTTAGGGCATTATGTTTATCTATCGTAAGAGT